CTAAGACCTGGAACTACATCTCCAGAAGAACAGGCAGGGAAAAAGCTTCTGGACATCAATCTTTTTTTTTTTTTTTTTTTATCCTCACCCGAGGACATTTTTCCATTCTTTGTTCAGGTAGAGTGGGAGGGAGAGAGAGGAACAGAGAGAGAGAGAGAAACATCGACGTGAAAGGGACACATCGAGTGGCTGCCACCCGCACAACCCACCAGGGCCGGGGACAAACTGCAACCGAGGTACACGCCCCTAGCGGGAACCGAACCCGGGTCTCTCAGGACCGCAGGCCGACGCTCTAACCACTGAGCCAAACCGGCCAGGGCTGGACATCAATCTTTGCTATGATTTCTTAGCTATGACACCAAGAACTCAGGCAACAAAAGCAAAAAATAGACAAGTAGAACTAAATTAAATTTAAAAAGCAACCTACAGAATGAAAGAAAATATTTTCAAACCATATATCTGATAAGAGGTTAATATCCAAAATATGTAAAGAACTCAATATATATATATATATATATTTAAGTATGCGAAGAACTTGAATACACATTTCTTCAAAAAAGACATACAAATAGCTAACAGGTGTAAGAAAAAGTGCTCAACATCACTAATTATCAGGAAAATGGAAATCGAAACCAATATGAGATATTACATCTGTTAGAATTTTTTTTTTTAAAGATAAATTTTGGGGAAAATGTAAAGAAACTGGAACTCTTGTGCAATGTAAAATGGTGTACCCACTTTTGAAAATATTATAGAAGTTATTTTAAGAATTAAAAATAGAACTGCCATGAACATTCTTGTACAAGTTTTTATGTGGATGTGTTTTCATTTCTCTTGGAGACATATCAGGAGTGGAATTGCTCTATATTTAACATTTTGAGGAACTATCAAACTGTTTTCCAAAATGAGTGTAGCATTTTACATTTGTACCAGCAATGTATGAGAGTTCCAATTTCTCCACAGCCTTGCAAACACTTACCTTTTGTCCTTCATATTATGACCATCTCATGGTGGTTTTGATTTGCATTACTCTGATAACTAATTATGTTGAGAGTGTTTTCAGCCATTGTCCATTCATTTACATATCTTCTTGGAGAAATGTCTTTTCAGATTCTTTGTCCATTTTAATTGGGTTATATGTCCTTTTATTATTGAGTTATGAGTTCTTTATATATTCTGTACACAATCTTTTGTCAGACTTATGGTTTACAAATATTTTTTCCATGTTGTGGGTTGTCTTTTTGCTTTCTTGATAGTGTCCTTTGAAGCAAATTAGTATTACATTTTGTTGATCCAATTTGCGGGAACCTCTGCAGTGAGCCAGGTAGCAGAAATGAAAGTAGGACATTGGCTCCAAACGCAGCTTCACACCCTGTGACCCTCAGCTTACTCTGTGGCTCACTTAGCCAAGGCCTTATCTAGGGCACTGAACAAGCTCATACTCAAGTGCCCCTTCAACCCATATTGTTTAAACATTTATTTAACATTTGTTTAAAGAAGGAAGGCAGCTGCGCGACAATGAGTTATTATTTAGGTTTGTTCCTAAGAGGTACCAATCCCCATGCCAACCATTTTTAATCAAATGAAAGGAGTTCTGTTCAGTACACCTTTCTCCATCTCCTTGTATTCCAAGGACTTTTCTAACTCTGTTGCCATGGTGTGCAAAAAAATAATTTACTTTGCAACAGAGTGAGTTGAACTAACCAGGCTGCTCAGGGTCAAAAGTTCTCAGCCCAGGGATCCCAGACCTTTACAGCATCATCATGGGCTGAGAGGATCCATGTCTCACAATTCACAATCGCACAGGGCAGGGTCATTGAGAAACTCTACTGTGCACTTAACTCTCAATCAAAACAAAGAGGGAACTGATCATTTTTCATGACCCAACGCAATTTATTCACGAGATAAACGTATCTTAAGATAGACCAGCACCTCTCAATGATAAGCATGTCAAAGAATTTTGAGATATGTTTTAATAACTATCACAGTGGAGATATTGACCACTACCTTCACCCTCTTTCAGTTCACACTTCCTATTCCTGGAGCCTGAGTGTAAACCCATGTTCTCACAGTATTTTGAAAAGACTCAGATTTTGGCCATGTTTGTAACCTACTCAAGCTTTGAATAGAATGGCTGCTACTACAGCCTTCATGTAACTAGTATGTTCAAAACTATTATTGCAATAACAATATCTTGTCAAAGATATCAGTTATTTACATGTCACATGACACGTTTATCTTGTTCTAGAAACTGAAATAAAATGTAAGGGGAAATAGCATACAGCTTATACATATCTACCGGAAACACTGGTGAAATAAAATCAGTCACCATTATTATTGATCATTATAACTCCAATCAATTATCATTCAGATATCATCTTCCCCTTTCTCTGAAATGTTCTGGCCTATGTGATATGAGCATACCTGTCTGAAGTGCTTGCATACCTCTCTAATCAATAGCACAGTCAAATAGACAATGTCCTTAGATCTGCAAGTCTTTTTTTTTTCACTTTAAAAAAAATCAGAATTTTATTTTCTGCAAAGGTATCAATGATTCCATTACAATGCACTGACCAGGAATTTACATATTAGTTGAGAAATATCTAATTAACTATGGGTTCTGCAAGATTTGCAAGTCTTGTCACTTCAGTGGGTGTAGACTGCTAATCTCCGGCTCTGCTTTCAGGGTCTGGTGAGGGCCTACTTCCTAGATGGTGGTCATTTCATTGTGACCTCACAGGGTACAAGGGATCTTTCTGGGGTATCTTTTACAAGGGCATTAATCCCATTCACAAGAGCTCCAACCCCATGACTTAACTCCCAAAGGCCCCACTTCTTAACACCGTGTCCTCGGAGGTTAGGATTTCAACATATAGATTTGGGGTGGGGGGCATAAATCTTTAGACCATAGCACAATGAATACAGAGCAAGCAACGTAAGTCCCTGCCTGGAAAGCACCCACTTGGGTGTCTGCTCCAAATGAGTAGGAACTTTCTCTGGTCCCCATTGTGTCCCCACTGCCTAGATGTGCTCAGCAAGTATACGTGTTATGAATGAATGAATAAAGAATTGATGGATCCCAGGATGGTTCCTAATCAAACCCAGAGAATCCAGTTTTCCTTCACCCACTGGGACCTCATCTGCTGGGAACCATGTTTAGTGTCAGAGCCATACCTAATTACTTCTGACCTCCTGTGACTGTCCTGGTGTCTCAGGTCTGAACTTGACCAACAGCATGAATTCTGATGATGCTTTGTGGTTAGAGGCTTCAGTTTGACCTAGGAGCATCTGAACTCCAAGACTTTTTCTTCAGTTTTCATATTAAAAGGCAAATAATAAAAGCTAACATAAGAGTAATGCACACTGACATGTTGGTTCCAAAGCCTGCCCGGATGTGAGCTGCGCGTCTGTGGCCTCCTCAGCGAACCCCGTCTCAAAAAGGTGAGCGACTTCACTGGCAGAGAACATTGGCTTCGACCTCCAATCAGGATTTATTTTGACACTTCTTATAAAAGTTTCTTTAAAAATGTTGTGTCCCTGTGGTGAAGGCAGTGGGGGTGGGGGACAGGAATCAGGAGGAGGGTGTCAATGGGGAAAAAAAAGGAGGGACATCTGTAATACTTTCAACAATAAAGATTTTTTAAAATGTATGTATCCCAGAATATTGGAGCAAAACTAATGTCCAGTTTACCACCTTTAAAAAAAATGAAATGACAAAAGAACACTATTTTCTTTCAGGTGAATTCCCAAAGAATCACACAGTTTTATCCCATCTAGAATTTCCACACCCAAACTGATTTCTCTCAAAAATTCCTACTTTTACTGTAGCTGCGGTTATATGATATCTTTTTATCTTTCTAAAGTCATTTCAAGAGCCATCATGGCTTAGGTGTAACAGACCCCTGACCTTTTGCACCATTATTTCAAAAATCTAGTGATCCAAGTGAAACAGCACTCTTGGTTCCTATCTGGGGTGACCATTTCAATTTGGAGTATTGGTAAGCGTTGGGGCAGGAGCTCCCCGATTTGGGACTTCCTGTAACTGTGACATGGCCGTGTCTCTTAATGTTGTTGAATTTAAAAATATCATTCAACAGCCAAAAAATAAAGAAAATGAATTTCATTCTGCCTCAGATCTCTTGAGAGACGTGTACAGGTTTCCAGTCTATAACCCCTGAGAACACTTCCTATGTTCTTTCTTCTCACTGTTCTCAGCACCTCCCTCTGCTCAGTGCCCCATCCATTCCCACAGGGACACCGTCAGTTCCCAGTTTCTTGTTTCCTGGAATGTGCAGCTCACCTCCCTCTCTAAAGTCAATCCTTTGTAGGTTGACTAGATGATCTTCCTCCCTGAGACCTTTTCTTTCTGCCTCTAAGCCCTCCATCCTCTTTGGCCTCCTTCTTCTCAATTTCTGGTGGCCTCTACCACCCTCAATATGGATGTAAATCTTTAGACTATAGCACAACTGAATACGGAGCAAGGGGATCCAAGGTTAGACTGCCCCCCCCAACACATGATTCAAGAAAAGGCAGCCCTTTGCTGAGGGTATTCTCAGCGACCACTATCCACACCGTCCCCCTACCACCCTCAAAGCCACCCAGGGCCTCTCCCTGTGAGAGAAACCCAACCATTCATGTGTCAGCCCCAGTCCAGGAAATAATCCTGGTCCTGGGATGCTGGATCTTCAGGAGCCTCAGGAGGGCGGTCCCCTGAGCATCCTCTGTGGAGTAGACAAAGGACAAGTGAGACGCAGGTGGAGAGAACAGGTTTTATTTTTCTACCTGGTCAGACACAGATGATAACACTCAGAGGCAGGCAGGAGTCGGCATCCCCGGGGTAAATACATGCGTAGCATCTTCTGGGGAGTGCTCATCGCCCCTCCCCCAAGAAGATTTCAGCAAATCAGCCTGAGATGTCTGGGAAGGGCTGTGTCCCGCCGGGGCTTCCCTTTGGCTCCTTGATTTCTCTAAAGTCGCTCGTCTCAGCGTCGGAGTCCAGGTCAGCAGCAGCCCCCAGAGCCGTGGCCACAGCCAGAGCCCCCAGAATGCTGACCACTGCCACTGTCGCAGGAGTCGGCGCTCCGGAGCCGGCATCGGTGGGACCTGCGGTGGTGCCTGTGGTGGCTGAGGCAGCAGCCGCCCTCGGAGCTGGGCCCACAGCCGCCCCCGGAGCTCAGGGCACAGCCAGAGGGCGCTGGGGGTGAGCACTGGGCTGGGCTCTTTGGGGGGCACTTGGGGGAGGGGCATTTGGGAGGGGGCTGGCACTGTTGCTGGTTCTGCTGGCAGGACATCTCGGCAGGAATTGGACCTTGAACAAATAAAAGACACATTTTGAGCACGGAAGCTGCAGGAGTCTCCATGTCTCCTCCCCGCAGGTTTGTCAAACACTTGTCCTCCGTGACCAAGCTGCTTTCTAAGCCAAGCTCTGTGGGAAAGGAGTGGGAACGTGGAGGGGACACACGCATTCGGACAAGGCATCTTCAAGGACGCCAAATGGACCCTTGTGCATCCCTGACAGCACACCCAACAAGAATGGGAAGGGATCCTCAAGACCTGTGGCTTTTGGGATTCACAGCCCCCAGACAGGTGCCTGAGTGTCTCCTTCCTCGCCATCCCCCTCCCCCTCTGCTGCCCACTATGGGCCTCTTCCTGCTGGTTCCATTCAGATCTGAATCCCTCTTCCCAACACTCCCAGCTAAGTCCTGTCCCTACCCAGACACTCACCAGATGCAGAGGAGGGTTGAGAAAGCTGTTCCTCAGGAGGCTGTGGATGGGGAGCCCAGGGCAGGGGCCCTTTTATCCTGTGCTGGGTTAGTGACACAGGGCCCGAGCATGCTGCTGCTTTCACCAGCAGGGGGAGTGACAGCCTGGCACACCCCAGAACTAGTCCTCCAGCTTTTTTCTTGAGCACCTGAATAATGTCCAACTAATGAGGTTCAACCAGGAAGAATGATGACTGTCCACGTAACTCCCCCCCGGGCTTCCTGGGAGCCTGATACTTCCCCTCCCTTCTCTCAGAAGTCATGCCTTGGTTCAGCCTGTCTCAGGCACTTTCCTGGGAGCAAGGGTGGCCATGAAAGAATTGTATTCTTGCGCTCTACCAAGACAGACCCACAGAGACCAATAAATAAGGTCCCCAGAAGAGGGGGTGGGGAGGAGGAGATAAACCACAGAACTTGTATGCATGTACCCATAACCAATGGACATGGACAACAAAGCTGGGGAGGGAGGCGGAGGAGGGTGTCAGTGGGGGAAAAAGGAGAAACATCTGTAACAAAAATAAATAAATAATAAATAAATAATAAAATAAATAAATAAAAAGTCAATGAAAAAAAAAAAACAATTCTAAGTGATAAGTGTAATTTAATGTGCAAAATGTCTCCTGGCTACCCTAGTGACCATGACCTTCAGATGTAATCCACTACTGCCCCCTAAATTCCCGCCAATGAGATGAGGGCAAGGGGCGGGGATGGTGCGGGGCCCTGTCTTGTGGAGTGAGCCCTCAGATGACCTCATGGCACCCAGGGAACAGCATGGAATTTCAGGCATGAAGGGAACAGACCCAGATAGTCAATAAGGACATTGACCAAAGTTTTTAAAAAAAAGTTTAAAGTATGGTTGTTTTAGTGAATTTATCTAAACTCAAAACTATTTGCACAATTGAATTTATTATAATATCTAGCTATAGTCAAAAAATATATAACTATGTCTATAAACTTTAATAATCCATATATAATTTAAGTTTTGCTATTGTAAGATTATTATATACCATGGATTTACGTTTTTTATAAAGAAACATGGCCATGGCCTTTTGTTAACTGTTAAAAAGCAGGCAGTAAAGCAAGACACAGAGTTAACGAAATGATTTTGAATGAAGTCTTTTTCACAGGATACGTGTTTTACTCTTTAATGACCATTGAAACCTATGGAACTGGCTTCCTGGCCGTAGGCAGTTTTGTTTTTCTCATTTCACTCTACAATTCAACCCTACTGAAGCCTAGTGATCCCATGAGTTATTTCAAGACCCGACAGAGGAGGGACTTACACTGGGCCTTGGGAGTGTGAGCTCAGGAAGGAGCTGGTGCAGGCAGCAGGGAAGGAATTACACCCTCAGCGACATTCTCCTGTCTCCATAAGAGGCTCTGAACCCCTCACCCCCACCCCAGCCACCCTTCTGTCTCAGCCTTCTATCAGCTGCAACAGCCATTTTCCTCAAGTCTTGAGAACCATACAATTAAATGCTGGACTGGAAAAATATGAGCAATGAAGAGAGAAACTATTTTTCATGGGGTGAGGATACAGATGGAAAGAATAGTAAGAAACTCATTTCTATTTTCATCAGCTTTGCTGGATGGGGCATAGCTTAGATAACGCCACAAAAATAGGGCTACTCTCTCTCCTGGTATACTTAGGAAGTCCTAGTTTACAACTGGTGTCCCAATGCAATTACTCAGTAGTGTCCTGGTTTGAATGACAACACGGAGTGAAGAGACCAGCACAATGAAGTGGTGCTAACATCACACGTGGGGCCCCTCGGGAAGTTGCGCCTTCCTTGGATTGTGACTGGGAGAAGGATGTCACCTACTGTCCTCCTCTCCCACAGACCTGGTCTTCCTATTTCCAGCTCTTCCTGGATTTCTTCTTACTCATACAGACATTTTAACAAACTTTAAATGAGCATTAGCTGTGGGTCAAGCACCCTCACCACTATCCTGCCAGGAAAATCATCCTCTGTTCTGACATTTTCCATAAAATTCCTAGCGTCCTGCTTCAAATGATGGGATTAAGAGGGGGTTTCTTCTACAGTTCCCTAATATGTGTAGAGGAGATTTGGGGCTCCTCTAGGGTTCTCTGTAGGAGTTGAGGGTTTTTTAGGTGCTAAGGTTTCAGGGTTGGACTTGAACTGAAATTCCAGTTCCAAGAAAAATTACAAACCAATGCCATGCTGGAGCCTGAATCTATATGGAACGTTTTCAGTGGTTATAAGGAGGTAGTTTACGTTCCATAAATGCTAGACACCATCAAAGACACCATCAAAGAGGGAAATCGATGTGCGGATGAGAAGCCAGGAATGAATATCCTTAAATTCGGAGACTGGGTGGCATTTCCACACGCCTTCGCTCCACTTTCCCTGAGAGAAGCTGAGCCTCCTGTCCTGTATTCTCACAGTCCCACCTCTGACACCAGGGAGATCCGTTTTGTGTTTGCTTCATTTCTTACTAGTGATGAACTGAGATTTCGCTTCTCTGGGTGCATTTTAAGGAAGAGGTATCAGAAATGAACCGTGTTCCCTCTGTATCTCCACACTACCGGTGCCAGGCTCCTGAGGATGGGCTGCTCACAGCACTGACCCCCAGGGCTCCCCTCCTGGTCGGGAGGAGTGACGGCCTCGGCCCCACAGCTGTGCTGCTGTCAGGAGAACATCTGCTCACTCTCAGGCCCACGGAGCAGCAGCTCTGTGAGAAATACGAGGGGCTGTGAAGCGGGCGCCCCTCACCGAGGTGGACAGAACATCAGTGAGCAACAGCTCCAGGACCAAAGGACAGGCTGCCACAACAAGGACAAAGCCTGGAGGAAGCCAGACAAAAGTCCCTGCATTTCAGGGAAGGCAGGGAGTCTCCACTGAGAGCCACTCAGAACTGTGGAACTTACCCAGCCACCAGATGGTGTTACTCTGCAGCTGTTGCTGCCTAATGACTCAGGATTGTACCAATTTGCACAAAAAGTACAAAGTGCTTGCTCCTATTGAACCACGAGTCACAGAGGAAAACTACCCATTTCTACAGAAATCTGAACCCCTGGACTCATTCTTTCCATGCTCCACAGCTCCCGAAATTTCTCTTTAGCATACACCATGGTTGTAAGTCACCATTTGCATTTCTTCTTTGTTAGATTGTCAGCCCCGTAAGGACAGGCCGTTGTCTCCTTTGCAACTGTGTCCCCAGTGCTGAGTGCGGTGCCTGGCCCACAGCTGATGCTCATTTAGAGTTTGTTAAATGTAGGAACTTGGAATTAATGAGTGAGGAGGAAGACCTACCAGTAGGAGAACCAGGACTGTGGAAGAGAATACAGTGGGGAATGTCCTCCTTCCATCACACCCCAAAGTCAGTCTGGACCTTCTGAGGGGCCTCACATGTGATGTTATCACCACTTCCATCATTTCTCTCTGTATTACCATCCAAACCAGGACACTGCTAAGGAACTACACTGGGACACCAGTTGTGAACTGGGACATTGAGGATGTAAGCTGGATCAGGACAGGAAGAAATGGGTGGACAGTGTGGTGACAAGCACTGTCAGACTGGCCTCTGTGACCATATGACACTTCCCTTTGGAGGTTCCAACAAACTACGTGGAGAGAGGTTGTGACTATGTAGATAATTGTCATAGTTATTTAGATAAGTCATTATTTCCAGCTACTGTCATTTGAGCAAACGTATTTATTGTGATCTCATCCTGTATGCACAGGCTGAAAAAAAATCAGCTTATATTTAGTTTACACATTACATGAGATACCCTTGATGTGTAAAATTTTGCCCTTTTTGTAAATGCAAAAAAAAAAAAAATCAGCAATTCTAAGAAGAGTCTAGGGATAGCTGAGACAATATTACATTCACTAAAGGAATTCAACTAAAGGAAAAAACAAAACCAGACAAGACATGATTATCTCAATAGATGCAGAAAAAAAAATATTTGAAAAAAATCCAGTATAAAGTCACCAAAAAAACCCTCTGAAAACAATGAGTAGAGGGAACATCCTCCACCTGATAAAGGACATTTCCAAAACACTCTACAGCTAACATCACACTAGATGGACAGAATGACTGGCTTCCTCCTAAGACCAGGAGCAAGGCATGGATAGGTCTATAAAAAAGAACATAGAGCCCTGGCCGGTTTGGCTCAGCGGTTGGAGCGTCGGCCTGCGGTACAGAGAGACCCGGGTTCGGTTCCCGCTAAGGGCACGTACCTCAGTTGCAGTTTGTCCCTGGCCCTGGTTGGTCATGCGGGTGGCGGCCACTCGATGTGTCCCTTCACATCGATGTTTCTCTCTCTCTCTCTTCCTCTCTCTCCCTCCCACTCTATCTGAACAAAAAATGGAAAAATGTCCTCAGGTGAGGATAAATAAATAAATAATAAAAAAAGAACATAGAGTTCAAAATACACCCAGAATGCATGACTAATTTATTTTAAACAAAAATTCAAAGACAACTGAATGAAGGAAGGACAGTCATTTCAAGAAATGGTGCTGATACAATTTGACATTCTTACATATAAAAATGATATGCACCTG